CTCTCTCTCTCTCTCTCTCTCTCTCTCTCTCTCTCTCTCTCTCTCTCTCTCTCTCCCCCAAACTAAGTCCCTTACCTTGTTGAGGCGGCCGTTGGGGGGCGACGGCGAAGTCACGGGCGATGGCGGGCGTGGCAGGTGCTGGCTGGGTGCGTCGAAGAATTGCGTTGAAGTTGGCGGACACACAGTGGTGCAAGGCAGGGAAGGGGGGACGTTGGGGCACATCTTCATCATGGGGGAGGGAACAGGGGCCGGTAGTTCCCGCCCCCACTGATTTGAAATCGGTGCAATCTGGGCCGTCGATCTTCGAGATCGACGATCCAGATGGGGCCCGATTTCAAATCGGTGAAATCGGGCCTACCGGCCCCGTTTTTTTTTTTTTCGCGGTCCACACGGTCTATGAAGGGGGCAAAAAGGGCCCCAGTGCCGAAAAACATAAAACAAAACTACCCTACAGTGATGCGCTGGGGGTGCCCGGTGGCCAACCGGGCGCGACAACCGGCCAGGCGGCAACCCCCCCGGGCGATGGCCAGGCCGCCGGGCGGCCCGGGGACTAGCCTAGCTTTTTATTTAAAATTTCATAATGAATTTCGGCGTAACCCTCAGCCAAAACTTGTTTGATTTGCAACGACATAGTTTTGTTTTTATTTCAAATTTCATAATGAATTTCGGGGTAACCCTCAGCCAAAAGTTGTTTGATTTGCAATGACATAGCTTTTTTTTCAGTTCTTTTTTTTTTTTTTTTTAGGACCACTAAGATGTGCCCAGATCTGGCCTTATCTTTGAATTTGGTGATGTCTGACCTAAGGGTGTCCTTGTTGTATAGGCTTGAAGGGGCCTAAAGGGGTGTGAGATAATTTAATGTTTTCATTGTTTGTAAATTTGTTTTTATTTTTTCAATTTTAAATTTCATAACGAATTTCAGGGTAACCCTCAGCCAAAAGTTGTTTGATTTGCAATGACATAGTTTTCTTTCAGTTTTTTTTCCAGTTCTTTTGTTTTTTGCACTGGAGCTGTATGGGACCTTGACCAGGATGTTGCCCGGACTTGACCCGGCCGGGCCACCCAGGTCAGTCTGACACAACCCTGGCGGCCCAGCTGGTAGCCCAGTCAATGAGTCAAAATCTCCCCCAAGGTGATGTTGCCCATCATGCCAATGTTTTGAAGACGAAATTAATTAAAATTTTTGAAAGCGGAAACTTTGTGCGATTATTTTTCCTCTGACAGAGATGGATTGACTATGCCTAAACATTCATTCCTTTTCTTGAACCTTTTTTGTTTGTATGTACACAGGCAATCTGGGAAAGTGGGATTGATGTGAACGCATTTATTACCATCGGGGTATCTTCGGGGCTACGGCAATTGCTGGAATTTGGTCTTTTTCATGGAGATCCTCATCCTGGCAACATTTTTGCAATGCGAGATGGACGAATCGCGTACGTAGATTTTGGCAATGTCGCAGAACTCAGCCAGGTCAGGCAGCCGCAGAAACTGCCTTCCAAACCATTTCTCTCTCTCTCTCTCTCTCTCTCTCTCTCTCTCTCTCTCTCTCTCTCTCTCTCTCTCTCTCTCTCTCTCTCTCTCTTGGCCCTTCTCTAGTCAGGAAAGAGGAATTGCAATAAATCTGCACCTTCTGCTCCGTCTTTCCTTCCGTCATGTATGACCCTCTCTAGTCAGGAAAAAGGAAATTGCAATAAATCTGCAAATTCACATGGCTTCAGAGTTCTCACACCATAACTAGTCCACACTTCATCACCCCAAGCTCCAAACTTGAGATGACAACACTGTGGAAATTGCTCGGAAATTCGTCTTATACAACACAGTCCCATGCTTGGGCGGAAATGTCCACGAAGCAACCTCAAACAGGCATGGCACTCTGTGTGTGTGTGTGTGTGTGTGTGTGTGTGTGTGTGTGTGTGTGTGTGTGTTTGTGTGTGCGTGTGTTTGTGTGTGTGTGTGTGTGTTTGTGTGTTTGTGTGTTTGTGTGTGTGTGTGT